ATCCATAAAGAACCTATGTTCTAAATCATTTCGCCTCGTTACCTCTGACCAAAGTCCACGTCTCCAGGGTATTCTGTACTCCAGGCTGGGCTGATTATCTTGTGATATTTGTCTCCGTGTTTACATAGGAAGATCCAGCACATTTACATGAAATCCACTGCTTAAACGCAAGTGCATACAGTGCTAGTCCACCCGCGAAAACGTTCTGAATATGCTTCACGAGTTTACGTAGCAGCCATCATATCGCTGGAGATCAGTGTCTGAAGTGAGACTTGTATTCAGGCCCATGTGATTCCCACCTCTTAGCTCTGCTGCCTTGGAAATCTCTCTCGTTTTAAACTCTCTGGGCCCAAACTTCCTCATCTATGAAAAATAATCATATCAAGTTATAGGGCCCTAACGTTAGTTAAGTGACCCACTTTGAATACGACGGGTGTGTCATCTCGGCTGCAGGAGGTGACCTGTGTGGCAGCATAGAGTGTGCACCGTGGAGTTTTCCATGGCTGATTTGGCTGCAAGTACATCTCCAGCGTCTTCTTCTCAGGCATCTCTGGGTGAACTGGAGCCTCCAACTTTTCCCTCAGGAGACAAGCACTTAACCATTAGGGCCATCCAGGGAGTGTGTGTGTGTGTGTGTGTGTGTGTGTGTGTGTGTGTGTGTGTGTGTAAAAGACTCACTCACTGCCATGAGTCAGTCTAGAGCCCATTAGGACCGGAATTTTACTTAGTTTTTCACTCCCATCTAAATAGCATTCTTTCTTCTTTGAATATTATAGCCAAAGAGTCAGAGCTCTCTTCACATTACTAATTCCATTCTCCCTTTTTCCTTCAGCTTCCTCCAATCTAGTTTCTTCCCCAATTCTCAACTCGGATGTCTTGCCCCAAATGTATTTTTCTCTTGACACATTTTTTATGCCCGTGAGTGACACGCCACCCAACCCAGCAATGCATTGATGACACCCATCTTTTGCTCCCTCTCGTCCAGGGGTTCTCAACCTTCCTCATGCCGTGGCCCTTTCATACAGGTCCTCATGTTGGGGTGACCCCCCAACCATGAAATGATTTTCCTTGCTACTTCATCACTGTCGTTTTGCTCCTGTTATGAATCAGGCGACCCCTGTGAAAGGGTGGTTCAACCCTCAAAGGGGTCACAGCCCACAGGTTACGAACCGCTGCTCTGGTCAGTCCATTTCCAAATCCTGATATTTTTACAGCTTATTATTTCATGAGTCTGGCTTCTCTCCAACTCTCCGGCCATGCTTCTCACTAACTAAGAGTCTCTTAGTTCATCTGTTCTCATCTGGCCTGCTGCCCATCCTCCCACCCATCGTCTTGACCATGGCTAGTGCAGCTCTCTTTGGTGAAATGTTATTCTTGTTTCTGTGACCATTTGGTGAATTCCCATCTGCCCCCACTGCTGTGCAAGCAGTTTGAGTTCAGACCTTGATCTGATGCTACTTACCATCCTATCCCTAGCACCAAGTCTGGCCAACCATGGGGGCTAAATAAATAGTTACAGAATGCGGGAATCACCTGCCACATAATAGTTACTTTTCCGAAGAGATTTTCTACAGCGTCCGTTGTCATATTCATCACCACCCCAGCCAAGATACAATAAGGCCAAAGGAATATATGTAGTCAGCGATTACCATCAAGTCGATTCTGAGTCACGGTAGTCCTTAGGTAGGGTTTCTGAGGCTGCAGGGCTTTTCAGGAGTAGATAGCCAAATCTATCGCTCAAGGAGTGACTGGCGGGTTTGAACCACCAACTTTGTATTTAACAATCCAAAATTGGCCAACTGTGCCGCAAGGGATCCTATGTAGTTAGTTTGACTAGGTAGCCTTACATCCTCTCCCATATTTGAGCTTCCGGGATTCCACAGCTAAGTGATACATGATTTTCAAGTAGAGATAGTCCAGACACATCTAAAGGAAATATAGGAAGGACATTATCTTTATTTTTCTCACATCCAGCACCTCAAGCTTAATTCTATTCAGAGACCACTACCTTAGACCAATTCCATTTAACTGAAAGATAATCATCCTCACCTGAAAAGCTCAGTCCGAGGCTTCCTAAAGGGGGGGGGGTGTTATGCAGCAGTGAGGGAGGACCTGGCAACCCCACTGGAGATGACATTTTAGGGAACATTCTGCCTTCTGAGCTGTCTCTCAGTAGAAGTGGTTTCACCAGGAGTGGGAATTCCTTGGGGGCAAATTCTGATGCCCAACTATAGAAAAGACTACATTGACAAAAAAAGAACTTCCTCATCTTGACACAACATCCTTTTAAATCTCAAAAATACTGTTGTCTAGTAATATGAGCTGGTTACTCCACTGACTCTCACCTGAACACAGCAGGGAACTGCACATATTCATGGGAGCAAAGGGGTCTGTGTGTACAACCTCCTGCCATAAAAGTGAAAGCTTGACTCTCTAGCCAAAGTCAGTTCCGTCCTATGGGAAGCAAAGGTCCCTAAGACATCAACACAAGGAGCCCCTGTGGTGCCGTGGTTAGTCACTGGGCTGCTCGCTGAAAGGTTGGCCCTGTAAACCCCCCAAGCCATTGCTATGGAAGAAAAGATCTGGGGATCCACTCCTATGAAGATTGCAGCCTAGAAACCCCTATGGGATCCGATGGGGTCTTCGTGAGTTGGAATAAACTCTACAGCACACACTCACAAGAAGCATCCATACCCCATATTCAAACTACCCCATCTAATTGTATCAATTTTCTACAGAAACACTCCAGTGCAGATTGCAGCACACTGAACATCAGGATTGTTTGTTCTGCTTGACCTTGGGAAGTTGTCCAGACTTTTGCACTTGGCAGTACCGTCCCCTTAGCATGTCCATTGCTCTGGCACAGAGACAAAAAAAAAAAAAGTATATGAAAATTTCAGAGGATGAATTTGCCTCCTGCTTTTCACTCTTTCTCGCTTTCTGTGAATAATATATGTATTCATTACCTACTGCTGCATTACATCTTACTCTAAAACTTGGCAGCTTAACAAAGGCACCCGTTTAGTATTCTGCCTATCAGGGATCTGGGTACAACTTAGTTGGGTTCTCTGAATCAGAGTCCCTTACAAGGCTGCAATCAAAGTGATATCATGTCAAGACTCACTAAGGAGAGAGGGGTCCAGCTTCCAGTCTGACTCATATGATTGTTCACAGGTCTCACACACTCACTGGCTGTTGGTCAAAGATAGATTTTGCCACATAAACTTCTACATAGAGCTACTCGCAATATGGTAGCTTTCTTCCCTCATAGTGAGAATTCTGGGAGAGAAGAGAAATTGTGAGCAAGATGGAAGGTACTGTCTTTGTGTAACCTAATCTCAAATTTTATTTTCCATCTCTTTGGTGGTCTTTTTTCCCGTGGGGGGCAAGTCATGGGTCCATCGCACCATCAAGAGGAGGGGACGACAAAAGAGCAGGAAGAGCAAGAGGTGAGGACCATTGGAAGCCAGCTAGAGGGAAGCTGCTAGTGCTTTTGTTCTCCCTAGGCAAGGACACAGGAGCCCTGGTGGTATAGTGGTTATATGTTGGGTGGTTAATTACAAGGTCAGCGGTTCTAAACCACCAGCCACTCCACAGAAGAAAGAAGATGCTTTCTACCTCCATAAAGAGTTACAGTCTTGGAAACCCCCACGATCAGGTCTACCCTGTCCTGTGGGGTCACTAGGAGTCTGAACGGACTCAGTGGCAATAAGTGTGGTGTTGGGTTTGAGGCAAGAACATAGGTTTCACCCTTACGTCATCCGTTCTTTGAGTATCCTAGGTTACACAGGCATCAGTGTCAAACCTCATTCAGCAAACAAAGGAAAAGGAGAATCAAGGATAGGGCAAGTTTCACTAAAAATAACTCTCAGGATGATACGGATTTTAATTGTCATTCCCCATTGTGCATTGACACTGAATCACGGTGAGGACCCCAATCACTCTTCCTTGGCTTGTCTGAGCATTAGCTTCTAGATGATTAAACGTGATAAATGACTAGTTAATACATTAAAACCAGAGCTCTAGAGGCTGTAGATATAGGTATATTTAGACCTGGGATTCAATTCCCGTGCTGCACCCATTCCCCGCTTGGCACAGAGGCTGAGGGCTCATGTGAGATCATTCTGAAGCTCTGTCTACTTTATTTTAATGTACATGTTCAACTTTTTCCAACCAACTTTTGTACACATGCGTCAGCACCTGTTAAGTCACCTCCTAATTGACTGAATTATCTAGACTTCATTCCTTACTCCCTTAATATCATGCTTTGCTAGAGGTGAGACAGAAAAGAAGACAAACAGTGGTAGGTCGAGGTGACGTTCAAACCCACCAGTCACTTTGTGAGAGAGAGTTGAGGGCACCTGCGTCCAGACAGAGGCACCGCCTCCGAAAGCCTCTGTCGAGTCCAATGGACTGGACGGCAGGGGAGGGGCCGGTTCTCTAGCGGTGTTTTGAGAGCCTTTCACCCTGAAGGCTTCATCTTTTGAGACTGATTAGACCATGCTCAGCTACTGGTTATAAGGTTTTCTGTTGGGAATTTTTCACCCAGGAGGTGAAAATCCTACCACTGAATCACCAGTGCCTCTCAGAAGTTTCCAGCATATATTGTCAATAGCTCTTTGAACCTATGTTTATCCTTATATTCTTTTCCCTAAGAACTGCCGTATCCTGTTGACCTTTGCTTTTCTCCTTTCTGCTAATTTCACGGTTTGGGGGGTGATTCATGTCTTATCAATATATTGTTTTGTTTTATTGATTTATTTCAATTAAGCTTCAAGTAAGAGAGCTGGAATAGTCTTTCACAACATATTACAAATACAAGCAACACCTAAAAATATTTAATATTTAAATAAAGACAAAAGTGTTTGACTTGTTAAAAAAAAAACAGGCACATGGATAAACCTTGCAGTGCAAGTGCTGTTGAATTATTAGTGGAGCTGGAAGTACCGAGACTTGGGGTCACATGACAAATATCCCCCCCTTTGTTTCCTTTTGTGCAGATTGTTTCCCAGAGGAAATTGTCCAAATCCTTGCTGAAGCACGGGAACACGGCAGGAAAGTCCTCTATCACGGTAAGCCCCCCACACGCATATTTCTGCCACGTGCGGTGCCTTGGGCGAGCTCTCTGGTCCACTGCAAGCATGCAAGAGGTAGACCGTCTGCCAACTAGGAATTGATTCCACGACCACTGCACTACCAAGACCCCCCCTTCCTGCCTTCTCCACTTCTTTCTCCTTCCTGCTGATGGAATGTTGACCCTTCTGCCCCTGGTGAAGACAGAGGACTTGAAAGTGAGATTACTCACTTCTAAGCACTTCTGCAAGTACTATATAGTTGGGGAGAACCATAGAGTTATCAAACATAGGTACCATCTGAAATTGTCTGGGGTTATCAATCACCAAATATGCCTATTCCCGTCTCTTATTTCTATAGAGAATTAAAATTTTTCTGAAATACCATGCTGTCCAAGGTTGCCGAAGCTTCAGAGAGCCAGCATTTAAACCTAGTCTTTGAAATAATACAGGAGATTAGACAACATAGTGCTTATGCATTGGTCTTCCAACTAAAAGGTCAGTAGTTCAAAACCACCCGCTGCTTCTGGGAAAAAGATGAGGCTTTCTACTCCCCCAAAGAGTCACAATCTCAGAAACCCACAGGAGCAGTTCTCCTCAGTTCTATAGGGTGGCAATGAGCCAATGGCAGTGGGTTTGGTTTTTTCAGGTTCTTGATATAATAGTTTGGAACCGTGTGATAAGTAGCTTCAAACCCCATTTACCTATTTAAACTTATATAAAATCATCTAAAGTTAAATCAATTCAAGCATTCCATTTCTTAACCACCCCTAACAAGTGCTCAACACTCGTGTGTGACTGTTCTATTAGACAGTGTAGACAATAGAGCATTTTTATCATTACAGGATATTCTATTGGGTAACTCGAGGATTATATAAATTTTGACATTTCAAATAGAACTCAAACTCTTTGAAATGTTGACATCACACAAGGGGTCCAACCATTTAATCTGTGTGGAGGGGAAAAAAGAAAGAAAAAAAAATGTATGAGGAGAATATAAATTACGAAGGAGGCAAATGGTCAGAAGGCAAATCTCCTGAGTTCCTTTGAACATTCTCTTTTAACTCGAGAGAAACTGATTCGGCTTTTTTTTAAAACAATTTTTTAAGGAAAAAATTCTAAAACAGTCTCAATGGTGATTGTTGTGGCCATTCACACAGGAACTTCATCTGAGTTTATGGGTTGAAATTTAAAGAGGCTTTGCACTGTGGAAACTTATCCTGCGCTGCCACATTCAATTATAAATTAGATGGGTCTTTAAAGATTCCAGTCATGCTCTACCAAGCCATGGATCAGAGAGCTCAGTCTGAAAGCCTATGGCTCCAGATGAGTATTGGAATGTGAGCTAGTTAAGGTTTATTGTGCCAACCTGGCCAATAAACACATGTGGAATTAATTGAAGGGCAGAGGGATAAATGGCTCAGTGAGCCTTGCCTTTCTAGTTCTCGGGTCTCTTGCTTTCTGATGGTTGGACCAGGGTGCAGCTGCCTTAGCCAGTTCCCTGCTTCAGCTGACAAAGCTCACTTCCTGCAAGACATCCCTGAGGAGAAGCCACATGGACCTACCCTGATGCAGCCCTGGGTGCTGGAGCAGCCGTGGGGAGACCCCTGCCAGCGCTGAGATGCTTACACACTCACTGACTCGACTTTCTTCCTGCAGTCGGCATCATTGTGTGTGTTTCGTGAGATAAAGGAGGACTTTGTAGATCGGTGTCAGACATATGGGCTAATCTCGGACTTAGGAGCTTGGATAGTACTGGGTTGGGATGCTTTATTAATGTACACTAACCCTTTATATGAAATATATATATAGTACTGGGTTGGGATGCTTTATTAGCGTACACTAACCCTTTATATAAAAATATATATATATATGAATTTCTGTGGATTTGTTTCTCTAGTCTACCCAGACTAACACAGAATGGGGGATTCGGGTCTGAGATATGCCAATGTTCTTTCACAAATGCTCACCTTGACAGTTTCCCCTGTAAGATGTGTTGGAGATTTTCTTCCTCCAGATATCCCAGGATTTAAAATTTTTTTTCTGAATTTTAAGTATTTCAATTCCCCTCTCAATTTGGGGCCTTGGATCAGCTCACTGACTTCACTGGCTTCTGGAGAACACTGGAAGATGTGTGTAAAAGGTGGGGTCTCAGGCTAGGGCTCTCTTGGGCTTCCCAAAGGCATCTGGAACTGCAAAACAGTCAAGGACTATCGTGCCAAGAGCATTTACAATGGTTCAGATGATCCAGGACAAAAGAGGGAGGGCCACATGAAAAATATAAAGATGATAGCTCCTGGTTTATCAAGCATTCCCTGAATGTTTACTATGGGACTCAGACTCCTGTTTTCTCTCTCTTATGATAAGATTTCTACTTTATTAATCACTTAAATGTCTCATATGTAAGTAAAATGAACAAATAACTTAAACGTATCAGTGAGTGCTCTCGGTGGAACAGCTGAAGTCAGAAAGAACTGAGATTGAATTCACCCTCAGCCTCGCAACATGACCACCCTGACAAGGATGCTCATGGGCCGGGACCCTGAACATTTATAGATGGCTTAGCCTATTTGCTGCTGGACTGGTCCATAGATGTTTGTTGTTATTTTTGGTCCAAGACTTTGAGAGTTACTGGCTATGAGGAAATTATTTTATTAGGAAAGAACCTCTTGGATATTCCTCTCTTCCCCGTACACAAAAAAATATCTTGTCAGGAAAGCCCTGTCCTGGATATTAAGGGTTCATGTCCTTATTTTTGTCTTCCTCTGGGATCCCACCTCTCCCTTTCATCTCCAAAATCCCAGGGACAGTCTTTGCCCCACTCCTCAGACAGAGCGTCCAATACTTCCATGTAATCATCACCCTAGAAAGGATAAAGAGATCAATTTACTCATATGCCCCTGCCCTCTGGGAGCACAATTCAAACCAGTAAATAAAGATTCTTCTTCTTCCTCCTTTTTAAATTCCCAGAGGGGGGGCGGAGTATATATACCGGTAGTTATGCATAGAGTGATACATGACCTTTAAAGAGCGAAATCTCTCCAAACTTCTGCCGCCATCTTATGTCCCCCTTTCTCTTCTCATGATCAGTGTACATAAGATCGAGGCATCTGTCTACCGATGATGTCCACTTCCACACAGTGTTCTTGGATACCTGGAAAGGCTGGGTCATGTTCATCAGGCAGGGCTCAGGATGGCCGAAAAGCTCATTGTCTCAACTTTATTTGGGTTGGCGTTGGGTCAAACAGGAGCCACATTTGCTGCTGGAGAGCTGGGCCGAGTGGTCTACCTTCTGCAACTGATGCGTGTCATGACCTTTTGTTTAGGTGATTGCAGAAGAATTATCTGGCAATGATGACTACGTTGAACTTGCCTTCAATGCTCGGAAATTGGATGACAAGGTAAAGCGTTTGGCATTAACCTTATGGAAGGAATGATAAAGCTAGCATACACCGTTTAATCAGACTTCCCCGGGCAGCTATTTTCCCTTTCAACTCGCATTATTGAGCAGATCGAAGATTGCAGAGAAAGGATTCCCCAAAATGGAGAAGCCACTCCTGAGAATGTGGAGGGACAGTAATGAAAACAGGACAATTTCATTATCCCGCGACTCCATGCGTTCCCAAATGCCACAGGCGAGTTATGCACGGGAAAGTGCCGTTTAACCCCATTGCTAGGGAGAGTCCAAGAGAAAAGAGAAGATGTGACAGGGAAGAAAAGTGACATTTACTAAACAGTTATATTTTCCAAGTACAGACTGTAGAGTTTTCCTTGCATTACCACCTAGAGTCATCCTAGTAACTCCATGAAGCAAGTATTAGAATCTGTTGACGGATAAGGTGATGGAGTCAAAGATGAATTAACTAGTCTAAGCTCATGCTATGCATTATTCAGACGCTCTGTGAAGCAGACACCAAGACAGGATTAAATATGGAAAGGTTTCATTAGGGAAACAACTGCATAGGACACAGAGAGAGGGAGTCTGAGAGAGCTGACAACCCATGACATCAGTTTGATCTGGAGAGATGGAGAGAGGGGCGAAGGATGATGGTGGGAGGGGAGAGGGGGGAGAAGCAGGGGAGTATCTTGGAGTCCCAAGAATTCTAATGTAGGAGCCTTAGACCCAAAGGTGACCATTAACGGAGTCCGATGTCTCCTAAGAATGTGGCTGCTTCTATATCTCTTTTTCACTCAGCCATTGGCTGAGAGTGGACCATGAAGAGTTTGGTCTAGGTACAAACTCAGAGAGGATTTCGGAGACCAGCAGCTAGGACCTTTGGTCAGTTACAGGACCTGGAGCTGGATGTGTGCGGGACATTTCTCACAGCCACTGTACTCTGCTGGTTGGTGGTCAATGCAAGGATGCGATCTGAGGGCGGGATGATTCGCATTTCTACTCTTCCTATTATATCTTGTATCTCACACTCAAGCACAAGCCATGTTGTCTTCTGTATACAGAGAAAGTTCTGCAGTCTTTACCCCTTAGAGCAGTGGTTCTCAACCTGTGGGTTGTGAGCCCTTTGGGGGTCGAACAACCCTCTCACGGGGGTCGCCCGATTCATAACAGTAGCAAAATGACAGCTATGATGTAGCAGCGAAGATAATTTTATGCTTGGTGGTGGTCACCACCACATGAGGAACTGTATTAAAGGCTCGAGGCATTAGGACGGTTGAGAACCACTGCCTTAGAGAAAAAGACGGCCCTTTCAGCCTCAATCTATGATCTCTATATTTTTCCACCAACCAATACCCTTAAACAACGTTACATCAACACGTATATTTCCATAAGACCCCATTTTCCTCAAAACTAGAAAACCGGGGACTGGAGGCAACACCACTTTTTCAATGCCTTACAGTCTTTAGGCTGACAAGGTAGAGCAAGTTCTCAAGCAACTCCCCCAAGCCTTACGCATCTGTACATGGATTGTCCTAGCTGTTGCGTGGAGCTATGAGAATGACTCCTTAGGCTAATACATGGAAAGCGCTACATTTTGTACTTGGGAAAGATACTCTGAGTTCCTCTTCATCACTGTTCACCTATAACAATACTCAGCCCTTCTACACATTCACTTTCATTTATTCATTCATTCATTATGCATTTGCTAAATCTTTGTTGGCTTTGTCTTATGCATGAGGTTCTGGGGAAAAAACGGGCATTAAATCACTCTCACACCACAATCCAGAATTCACCAGAAATGTAAGCCCCAGATAATATAGTACTGTACTATTAAAGTCATGGTGGATGACAAATTCAGTAATAGACAGATAAACAGAATGTCCTGGAAAGGGCAGAATGTTCTTTCTACATAGGAT